ATATATATATATATATTATTTTAAAAAGCTTTTAAGTTAGATTGTGCTGTGAAATGCAAAATTCATAAAGTCAAATTACAGAGTGCCTGTTTTTTGTGTGTTTTAGATGAAGAGAGCACAATAGAGGAACAAGAGGATCTGGAGGGAGCAGCTGATTACAAAGCAGAGTTGGTTGAGCTTGCGAAAGATGGTATTACTCTCTGCTTCTCTGGCCAGAATTCCCCCTAACCCACCCACAGCATTAGACTTCACATTAACTGTACAAGCTATTATCATAGTGTGTTGTCCCACACTAAACTGTAAAGCATAAATTTGGGAATGGAACACATGGTCTGAAGCTGAGGAAATTTAGCCATTGAGTCTAGAATGTGTACATGTTGGTGTTAATATTAGTGTCTATCAAATTTCGTGCACTGTACAAGGCTCCCACAATATGACATTTCTAAGCCAACTCATTTTTATGTTGCAAGTACAACCCATTCTAATTCCATGGTGCCTTCACCTAATTTACAATATCTTCAGAATACATGCAAATGCTTGGCTGATTTTTTTACTGTTGCAAACCAAAACATCAGAGGTCTGTGTGTGTTTGTGTGTGCGCGTGTGTGTGCGCACAGCACAATTTTTCGTAATTCAGAAACACTCCAAAAATGTTTTTGTATCTTTTAGTGGACTGGACCGTATCATTGGCATTTTCAGTCACATTAATGTATTTAAATCTGAGTTAGGAGCATTGTCACGAAATTACTTAAACTTGGATTTCAAGGTGCCACTTTGTATCAAAGTTCTATATTTATTACGGTTATGCTTTTTTTGTTATTTGTTCTTAGCTGAATTGCCTCTGGATGCTTTGAGGAAGCAATATGCCGGTGCCTACGCTTATGGCTTTGAGTGGCCTCAGCCAAGTCCTCAAAGTAATCAGGATGATGAAGAGACTGAAGGTACCAGTATGCTGATTTTTGTTGTTGTTGTTTTATTGTTTTTGTTCAGTATGTTTTACACATGTGGACAAAATTGTTCAAGAAAAACACACAATGTTCATTGAAATTACTTGGAAACTGATGTGACGAGAGTTTGCCACAATTTATAATGACAAGGCACAAAGCTGATGTGAGAATCTTTTGTAGCGATGAGAAAAAAAGAATATATTTTTTAAAATGCTGATCTTCTTACAGTTCAAAGGTATTTCATAGACCATTTTGAGTTATTCTTTTTGTAACAGAGCGTACCAACTATTTTATGCAGGTAAATTTGTCCTTCCCCCCTCAGTGATATTGTTCTTAATTTTCAGCAATAATGTGCCCTGCGAGCAGTCCACCTGAGGCAGTGCTCATAGACTCTCTTCTCATTGTGGACCAATTTTGTGGTCCCGACAAGACCTCTTCTCACAATTCTGAGGGGAAACCTGCCAGAGACATATCTGAAGTGGCTGCTGCAACAGAGCTCCTTCTGCCGAAGGGTACCCTCAAGGCCACTTCGTCGGTAAGACTCATAGGCAGATGAAGGAATCATTTCTCATGTTTTTCATTGTTGTAATTGTTTTATTTTACTAGACTCATAGTCCTGCACCATTTTTACTACATGGCTCACTGCGAAAATATCAGCAAATCGGTGTTGACTGGATGGTAAAACTGTACAAGAAGCACCTCAATGGTATCCTCGCTGATGAAACGGGCCTTGGCAAAACTGTACAAACAGTTGCTTACATGGCACACTTAGCTGGCCAAGAGGGTATGTTTCTGCTTCTATTGTTGTTATATATATGTTTTCAGGACATGTTTGTATGATGTAGTAAATGTCATTCGTTTTTTTCCCCCCCAACAGGTGTTTGGGGGCCTCATCTCATTGTGGTTAGGACATGTAAATTGCTCAACTGGGAAGTGGAGTTCAAGCGCTGGTGTCCTGGCCTTAAAATCCTCCTGTATTTGGGAACTGAGAGGGAGCGTAAAGTTCAGAGAATGGTTGGTGTTTTTGTGGTAACGAAAACTATATAATCACTTTATGAAGAAACGTCATATCATCTGGTCTGATTTGAACTCCAGAGGTGGCGCGAAGCAAACAGCTTCCATGTATGTGTGACATCGTACAAGCTGATGATGAAGGACCGCAGACATTTTCTGAGGCAAAAGTGGAGACACCTGGTTCTGGATGAGGTGCAGCTCATCAAAAATATGACTGAAAAACATTGGGAAACCATATTTGCACTCCAAAGGTGAATTTACTGATCAGCATTATTTTTCTGATAATCTCATTTGGAGATTTTGATACTCTTTCACAAACACTTGACTCTTTTAAATGATTTTGTAAGACACAGTGTTGCAAGTACTTTATTTATTTTTCAATGCATTTTACAGTGAGCAGCGGATCCTCCTCATCAATACACCACTACAGAATACTCTAAAGGAGCTATGGACTATGATCCACTTCCTCATGCCAGGAATCACCAGGCCCTACTCTGACTTCCCTGTTAAGGCAGGCACTGACCAGAATCAGGACTACTATCACAAACTTGTAATTCGCCTGCACAGGGTTGGTATACTACGACGAACAATAACTCTACAGCTAAACAGTTCTACATACTGTTTTGGATTTATTGAGCAAATATGTAAAGGTGCGTAAACGTAAAATCCAATTCATCTTACTGCTAGATGATTCAGCCTTTCATTCTGAGGCGCTCCAAAAGGGAAGTGGAGAAGCAGTTGCCAAAAAAGTATGAGCACATCTTGAAGTGCCGCCTCTCCAGCAGACAGAAGAGCATGTATGAGGATATCCTTACTCAACCCGGGTGAGATTTTCTCCCGTTGAACCTCAAGGAAGTAGCACGAACACTTTAATTCACACATAACATTTCATGTGGTTTTTAAGAAGATTTTCAGCACTGCTATAGCAGAAGACAGAAAAAAAATCATCATCACCAAAGACCCTTTTTTATTTATTTATTTATTTATTTATTTATTTTTAAATAAAGCTAATTGGAGCTGTTATTATCCCCCCAAGTATAGAACTTTAAAAGTTTTGATTTTGATTTTCTGCAATGACCACAATAAATTTCCTTCATTATCATCTCTTAATTGGACTATAACTTAGGCAGCTGGAAACTGTAGGAACCTATGTTGGTAAATGAACTTGTCCGTTGTTTGGTTGTGTTTTTAGATCCCAGGAAGCCCTTAAGACTGGTCATTTCGTCAGTGTGCTTCAGGTCTTGATGCAGTTGCAACGTGTGTGTAACCACCCTGATTTGGTTGTACCTCGAGAGACAAGCAGCTCCTACTTCTGCGCTCCTCTGCCATATGATAGCCCATCACTCATATTGGAAGCAATGCAGAATGACTCCAGCAAAGTATACAATTTTGTCATTTGTACTCACAATATCATAACTTTTCCCCGGCTTTTCTAGTTAGTAAGGCAAATCAAAGAGCCGTTCATGCCATAGTTTAATTCATTGGGATCTCAGCTATAATCTTTAGAAATAATGCTAAAATCCTGTTCCTTTTTTTCTACAGTGCATAACTTTATGAATAATTTAAATCGTGATATTCCATACAATATGATGTGATGTGGCACTCGTAATTATTTTCTTCTGCTCTCGTCCTTGACTTTATCATTTTAGGATACAAACCTGTCCCTGTTTGACTTGATCAGTAATGAGAATCGGCTGACTCGGTATCAGACTGAAGAAGCAATACCCAAACTAAAGGTCACACAACAGCTTATCGAGGAGATTTACAGTGGTCCTGAACAACCGCCACATCCCAAGCCATGCCCAATAAAACCGATGAGGTTTGAAAGGACATTTTTTGTTTTCTTTAATATAATGCGAGTATTACATCAAGACTTGTCTCATCATGATGTTGTAATGTCTTTCCAAATTAGATTATTCCAGCCAGTGCAATATGGGACGAAGCCAGAAGGGCGGCTAGTTGCCATCACAAGTGCAGTAGGACAGAATCCTCAAACAAGCTTTTCTACTCCAACCAACTCTGTTTCCACAACTAACTCAGCCCAGATAAGGGGAAAGTCCCCCATCACCACTGTAGCTTCTACAGCAACTCAAGGTAAGTAACACACTAAGAATTCACTCTAAGCAGTACAATCAACCTTATAAACATGCATATACAGTGATACCTCCGCTGACGAACGCTTTAGATCACGAACTTTTCGCCTCAAGAACATTAAATTTGCGAGCATATTGTCTCTGCTGACGCACTAGTTTTCGGCAGACGAACCAAACCACGCTGACGCACGCTCACGGCGTCCCAGTTCGTCACCTCCTTTCTTTGAGTGCGGACGTGGTTTGTGTTTGATCGACATTTTGGACCATATTGAGTGTACTTTTGCTATTATGGGACCGAAAAAGACCCCACCTCAAGCTAGTGTTAAGCCTAAGAAGACATTAAAGAAAATTACGATCGAGCAGAAGAAGGAGATCAAAAAAAAAAAAAACACAAACGAGGTGTGCGTTTGTGTGACTTAGCGTCCCAGTACCAGTACGCTAAGTCTACAATTGCTACCATCCTTAAGATGGAAAGGATAAAGAGTCTCCTTCTAAGAAGCAAAGAAGAGAAGCCCCACCGGAGGTTGAGTTACCTTCAGTCCTTATGGAAGGTGACGCTCCTTCCTAACAGTAACTCCCTCCCTCCGTCCCTCCCTCCCACCCTCCTTCCTCCTCCCACCCTCCCTCCTCCTCCCACTCCATTCCATCAAGCCATCAACTACCATCACAAAGGTAAATAAAACGACTTTATTTATACAGTACAGTTTATGTTCGTGAACTGAGGTATCACTGTACTTAGAGTTCACTTTGAAAAATGTACTGTCAGCCATGCATGCCATTTGGTTCCTGATGTTAAAACAGCCACAAAGGGGGAAACTGTATTTCGGTGACCGGTATCGGGCACCCTTACCAGAACCCAATATATTGAAATGAGGCCGGCATGAGTATAATACTGCTACCTGGTATCTATATTCACCCATCCATAACCCATGATTTAATAAAGTAATCTTTTAAATCTTTACTCAGACTGGGATAGCTTGGATTTGTCTGCTTTGTGTTCTGCCCTGGTGTCCATCACTGATTTTTTTTTATTTTTTTTTGTATACAGAGCAGGGTTCACTTTTATTTGTAGTATGTACGTATTTTGAAGTCCAAGTAGAGCAACTATGCTTAAATTTTGATTTCTTCCACTTTCAAAAATATGTTTCTCTGATCAAAAGCTGTAAAAATGAGGCGGGACTAGTGCTTGTAGCAGCAGCTACACTCTTTTTGCACTAATCATCCCACCTTTTTTCCTGCCCAGTATTTCTGAAGTTCATTTTCATATCTTTTATTTTGTTTTTATATTGTTCCTTCTCGTTAAAGGTGGGGATGCAGTGAAAATTGCCCAGCTTGCCAACATAGCTGGCAGTCAGAATCGTATCTCCCAGCCAGAGACTCCTGTCACTCTGCAATTTCAAGGCAACAAGTTTACGTTATCCCCCAGTCAACTCCGCCAGCTCACCACTGGACAGCCTTTGCAGCTCCAAGGTACACTTCTTAATATAATATATCCCCAGGTATCACTCTGAAACTTTTAATTTGTGCTGGCCTGTTGTTGTTTTTGTTTCCAAAGTTGTGTGCTAAGATACATTCATGTAGCTTATTAACAGTATAACACTCGAGCACGGTCATCACAAACTGATGTTCCTCGTACTTCAGAGCCAATTTGCTGAAAAGATCATTTTACTTCATGCATTTGCTTCAGCCTGAACACGTTTGCATCGTTTCCCTCTCCATAATAACAGCCTTTTTTCTCACTTAAAAATGTGGTTAAATCAGCACCCATTGTAATTGCTTCTTTATATATCATGATTTTAGGAAACATTCTACAAATTGTGTCAGCTCCTGGGCAGCAAATCATCAGGCCCCAGGGTTCTATGGTTATGCAATCGATGGCACAAGCTATCCCTAACTCCAATGCCTCCTCAGCTTCACCCAGTGCACTTCATCCAGCTCTGCCAACAGTCCAGCAAGGTGACACATCCATTAGCATTCCATATCATCCATCTTGTTTTGCAAATCAGATTTTACCACAGCGATTAGCAGTAGCATGCGACTTCGAAGTACGTGTCCTTCAGCTCATACAGTATATTTGGACTAGGTGTGACAACAAATGCCACAGCAACCTCCAACAAGCTCACTACTGCTGCCTCACAGGTATTTACATTACTTCAGAGATTGGTGGAGGAATAACAATTCATGGCAAAAGTTTTGTAATCTAAACATTTTGTGGCCTTGTTTACAATTTCCTTCAGGAGTCTTCTGAAGAAAAGACCCAGCAGGCAAAGCAGCGGTTGAGCCTCCTCTTTGACGCAAATGAACGTCGCTGCAGCCGTCGGGTTTTGTATGGGTCAGACTTGTTGCAGGCATGCACTGTGAGCTCAGAGCCTGGTCACTCTGCTCTAACTGCTGGAGGATGGATGTGGGTGGGTCGAGAGAGTTGCGTGAGGACCCAGAACACCTGTGTGGCAACCACCTCTGCACTGCAGTCTACCCTGCTCTCTGTTGAGGACCGGATGCAGGCTACCAACAGTCTTGCCAAAGGGTGCTTACTGTTTTACCTCGCTGTTAAAGCTTGAGTGCATAAGAACAATTTTAGGAGCCTTTTTTGGGGTGTTATTTCATTGATGGCTTGTCGTTCAACCCCTATTTAAAACAGTTAAATGTGGTCACAGTTGAAATTATATTTTGTTTATGATTTCCAATCATGCATTTATCTGTCACATTGATCCAAGTTTGAGAGATTCTCCTCTTGTCTTCTTGTAGGCTGGTATGTGTGGTGCCGACAGCTGTTGCGCCTCCTCCTAGGTTGTATGCAGCCAATCCTCCCATCCTCTACACCATTAAACAGAAGTTACTCCACAGTCAGCTGCAGGAATCTTTTGCTCCCCATACTTGTGAGATGCACCACTTGGTCGCGAGGCATCATTTCTGTTCTCCGGATCGTCAGCTAATGCAGATGGATTCAGGTTGGTTGGGTTCTCTTCCTGCCTGTTGTTACATATACATACTGATGGGGTTCAATTTTCTCCATCGGACGCTGTGCATACACCGACAAAAGACCTCCCTCATGGCGACAGAATTCCGTCATTTGGAAAAATTAAGAAGAAAAAAAATAGGCATGTGCACTTTGACAGTGAAGTTCTTCCATATGCGCAGTTACATCCACGGTTGTTGTTGCACCTTGTCACAATAAAGCTGACTTGACAGCTGGAATATGTAGAGACACAGCGAACACAACTTTTGTTTCAAATATAGAGGAGTGTCCCATCTATGAGTAATTAAAACGGAAGTCCACATCTTTAGCCTGGAAAGGATTCAGTGTTTGAAAAGACTGACATCAGTCAAAAAAAACATTGCAAGATGTGGCCGCAAAACGGTCGCTTTGAAGAGCAGTTTTCCGATACTCATGTTCCAACAAGACCCATTACGAGATGTGAACGAGCTGTTGTTCAAAAATGCTGTCTATCGATAATAGTTATGTGAAGCATGTGCAGATTTACAGTATTTTTTGTAGAATATTAACCATGGATGTTTTTCATCAAAAGGCAAGCTAGAAGCCCTGGCCATTCTGCTGCAGAAGCTTAGGTCAGACAATCGCCGTGTCCTCATCTTCACTCAGATGGCGAAGATGCTTGACATCCTGGAGGCATTCCTCGATTATAGGCAGCTCACTTACGTGCGAGTGGATGAAAGCTACAGTCCAGACGAACGACAGGTAGAAAAGTTGTTGTGATTGACAACACATCTCATAACATTTGTTTTGTAATTTCAGTGAGACATTGCTGTTCCTTTTAGAAATTGAGACCTCATGACAATACAACGGCGAAAGATGCTGTCATAGATTGTAGTGGATTGTTTCGTGGTTGTTACTTCCCCGTCTAACACCAGGACCTCGCAGTGACAGTGCAGAGTTCTGGCTCAAGGGGATATATTATTGTGCACTATTCCCTCCCTGTTGGACTCCGTTCCTTTCAGGGCCCAAAGTTGTTGTGCACATCAATATAGTTAAAACCCTGGACCATGACTGCTGTCGAAGGCTTCTTTTTTTTTCCACTCACATGTTGGTTTCCTTGCAGGAGACCATCAGGACCTTTAACAGGAACAGGCAGATTTTCTGCAGCATCCTGACAAACCTCTGCTGTTCTTCAGTCGGAACGATGCTTGATGCAGATGCCATCATTTTCTATGACACAGACCTAAATCCTAGCATGGATGCCCGCACCCAAGAATGGTGTGACAAAATTGGACGTGCGAAGGATATACACATTTACAGGTGATATTTTCATTGCAAACTCACCAGTTCCTGTTTTACATAAAATTGTTTACGTTCACAAGATGAACAATTTGGGAATTTACTAAGGTTTTCCCATGTTTGCCCAGGTTGGAGAGTGGAAACTCGATTGAGGAGAAACTATTGAAGAATGGAACCAAGGACCTTATCAGAGAGGTGGCTGCCCAGGGCACTGATTATACTCTTGCTTTCCTCACACAAGTAAGATAAGCTCATCCTTATTTTGTCCTTGAGTGTCAGAATAATGTTGTGGTTTGTTTTTTGTTTTTGTTTTGTTTTGCAAAATCCATACCTATTAGATTACGCATGCGAAATGACTTTTGTCTGGTCTAATTCTAGCGAACAATCCAGGATTTGTTTGAGGTGGAAGCGGGCTCAGGGGAAAAGGTTGAGGAGTTTGTTGTCCTTCATCAGGAGCCATCAGCCTCTGAGACCATCTCTCCAAAAGTGGCTCGACCCTACATCCAAGCTCTCCATAGCATTAACTTGGAGGATTCACCAGTAGCAGAAGATGTGAATGTTGAGGAGACAGCAATTTCCACCGGCAACCAGTGTGAAATGGCTGATGAGTCAGAGAGCCAAACTAACGAAGAGTCTTCTGAGATTGAGGAATTGAATGCAGTTATGGAACAGGTACATTCATTGTACAAACAGTGAGACTCAATTTTAATATTGTGTTTCCGTCATAAGTTTTTATTTCTGTATTCTTTCAAACAGCTCACACCAATTGAAAGATATGCTCTGAACTACCTGGAGTACCTTCATATCAGTGACGATGAAACCGCTCTCAAGGTAAATAAGAGTAATCCAAAATTGTATGGCCTAATGGTCACCTGTTATACAAATAAAATATGGTCTAATGGTGGAAGTAGAGCTGGCATTTCAAATCATGAAAAACTGTGTCCGACTTTAAATGCATGTGCGTAAACATTTAATTCGACTGTGTAAGCGAGGTAAACACTAGCCTACAATTTGATTGGAAACCACATTCCTCTCTGTGCACTTGTATTGATAGAATATTAGAGCCTGTTTTCAGTGCACACTCCATTCTGTTTGACAGTCTTATACGGAAGGAAGCAAAAGGGAGGGTATTATATTTGAAAAAAAGTGGTATTAAGGCTTTTTCACACTGCATTTAGCAGAGATGAAAGTCCTCCGGATTTTCCCGGAATTCCGGGTTTTTCAAATTTTTATGAAAATTTCTCCGGAGAATTGAGGAAAATTTGCATAATCCGGATATTTGTTGACAACATTGAACGAAGACGCGTTTGAGTTCGTTGTATTGCTTTCACGAGCGTAGCCATATTGAGGTACTAACACTAGTAACAGTAAAGAGATTTTTGTTTGTGTAATAACGACAGAAGACATGATGGCGTTTGACTAATGGTTTAGTAGAACGAATGGCAACTCGCAACAACAGTAGCAAGCGTCATTTTGCCTCTTGGGTTATACCATCTCAACTAGAACGTGGGGGATAGTCCCCAAACAATTTTCGTCTCTTTATAAACACACCTGCTAAACCCCAGTGGAACGAATAAAAGACGCCGTCAACAAGACAGTTGTCGTAAAATATATATTTGGCCAAAAAGGGAAAAACACAGATTGGCAGAAAATCGTGTCCGTCCGACTTCGAGTGTCGTCTCGGCTAACTTAGCTTTGCTGTTGTCGTGTGTGACGTCATTTGCGTCGGCGCTGATTGGTTGAAATCAAAAGACGCGCTTGCGTACATGTTCGCGCTGAAACACGCACAGCGGAGAGCAGCGGACTATCTACTGCTGAGACAGTGAGGCACGCTTAGCTTGAGTGGAGTTGCCACAACAGTAATACCTTCGCCTCGCATTCTCATGGCCTCGCCATATCTTGGAGATTTCGAAATTCCGGCCCGAACGGAAGCCACAAAGGGTACACGTGTGCACTCAAAAGGAAGATTAATCATTGAATAGAAAAGTCCACTTTCATCTCTGATTTAGCGACAGGCTGCGCGGCAGTAACAAACCCATTCATTGTCTGTGTGGCGCAAGCACGACGTGTCCTCAAACTGAAAGATCTTCAATTTTTGAGAGCGGTGTTGCCGTGACGTCACAATGTTGCGTCTGTGATGTGACACGCATGCCCCCAAAGCACAACTTTGATTGACGTAGACCAAAAGAAAGATTTCATGTGACGCAGTGATTATCCAACTGTAGTGGCTCATTTTTACCATCTCAGATCACCAGAGTAGCATGGCAGAGAAGGTAGAAATATTTTGGAGGTATGAGGCATTGCTCCTCGATCGCCTCGTTTCATGGAGACATCTACTAAAGATGACGTCACCTCATTGCTGCACGTAATGAATGAACTGTCCACAAACGCCCACTTTGTGTCATGCTTCAAATGGGATTAAATTAATGTCAAATATAGACCCATTCCCATTTTGTTAACAAAGATGACACAATCAGGATGCTGCTGGCGCAGAAATAACGGCAGGGTTTGTTAATTTTTACATAAGCCGAGTTAAGTATTGTGAAAATTACTCTTAAAAACCAACCTTGCCAGATGGAAAGCAACGTTCCGATCCTTTATGGAATTACAGAGTGCGAAGTAGATGTTAGAAAGTGGCCTGATGTCCAGCGGTCAGATGGATATTCATCTTTATTTAGTAGAGAAGCCTACTAGTGTTTGCAGTAGAGAAAATCTGCAAGCCCTCTTGGGCCATCGTCAGCAGAAGGGAGAACTACACTCACAGCTTACTCTGTTTGCATGGCAGGGTGAGTAATGTAGCCAGCTAGTCTGTTAGTTTCTTTTGTTGCTTGTTATATTACATAAAAGGGAACTGAGAATCGGGTCAAATTGTTGTGATGATGATCTCGATGGGATGTGCTGAGGTGTTCAAGGATGCCCAGGGGAAAATGGCGAAGGTAGACATTGCGAACAATAAGGCAGTTGACTTAAAAGAGGGCGCAAGTGTGCACCAAAGCTCATCATAGGTAAATAAGTTAACTACCAGTTACTAGCTGGCACTAATAGCAAACACCTTGACATTAATCCACATTTCCTGACCACTTATTCAACATTTCTAAACATAGTGGTTAAATTAAATAAAATGGCCAGGATAACCGATATGAAATGGGCACAACAAACGTGGGCATTCCTGACTGTATCCTCGGTTCATTCTGTGCGCTTAATAGCTTGCAGTCACATGCTCCTTGGGTGTTTCTGAAATGATCTGTTTCCTCGTGGAATTGAGAAAAAAGTTAACTCCTTTCTTCTCCAATTCATACACCCGTACACACAGCAGCAAGGATTATTGATTATTGTTGGAAACCATTCAAAGTGTATCACTCCACACACACACACACACACACACACACACACACACACACACACATAAAGCCCACATTTCATACTAAGGGGCTCTATTTTCATACACAACGCTTCTGCGGCGGGGTACAAATGGAGGCGGATCAGGGCTTGGACAATTTTGGTTATATTGAGTGTCGTGTGATCCAGTAATCTCAATAGAGAACACCATTCACAAAGGTTCTTTTCCACCACTGATCTCGAAACAAGTCCTCTGAGACATAAATCTCACATGATCACACACAATCTACATGGTCGGATGTGTTGCGCCGATAATTCCTGAGTGTCTTAGAAAGGATCGTGCCTCCTGGGGAACCCACCTCTCTACAAAAACCATCGGCTTGGACGTGCTTGCTTCTCTTTGAAGTCACTTCCGTGTTCCTCAGGCAGTGCGCTTCTTTGATTTGCTAAATTCTATTCGTCACACAGATGCTGGCTTTCCCCAAACTAAGATTTTTGGCTGTAAATATGATAGTTGACTCGAGCCATTTTTGGACCCTGTTATCCGGACAAATGCACATCTAACGCACCTAAGACCAGAAGATCGTCTGATAAAACATTAGACAGTCTGCAGTTTTGTCATACTTGTTTAGCAAGGGGCAAGATCCAGACTAAACGGCGACTGTCTTTTTTGTGCACCGGGTTTTACCAAGGAACAACTGACAACCTCCTTGTTACAAAAGTTAAAGAAGCATCTTTGCTACCTAGTGGTGTGGAGGTGGACATAGTTGGAAGAAAGATCAAATTATGTCTAGTGCTTGTGAACATACCGAGTGACTCATTTGTGACATTTGGCTCAGGAGCGATTGGAGTGTTCTAAGAGAGGCTGGGAGCTGCAGCAGCTGCAGAAACTGAAAGAGGAGGAGCAGGATCAGCATCTGATGGAGGCAGCTGAAGAGCTTTTCACCTACACAAGAGAAGATGCTTACAACATGGTGGGTGATCATTGAATCTTACTTTTCACAACCTGTTTTTACAACCTATGTTTAACACTATTGTCAAACCTTTTTTTACATTTTTATTAGGAGTATGTGTTCACTGCTGAGGATGGGCACACCGAAATCATGCCGGTAAGAGATGATAATTTATGTAGGAGGTTTTTGTGGTGTTGTTTTTTTCAACAATTAAGATGCCTTTTTTTTTTAAGAGGGCATATGCTGCCCCCTCACACCACCCCTGGGATTCTCTTCATTTGTACTTTTTTTTTTCTTGTGATCACAACATAGGTTTGGACTCCACCCACACCACCACAGGATGACAATGATATTTATATAGACTCCGTAATGTGTCTGATGTATGACACCACCCCCATTCCTGAGGCCAAACTTCCTCCTATCTACATCCGCAAGGAGCACAAGAGACTGAAACTGGACCCCTCAGGTACTGGTCCCTGTAAACATGCTACTCTCTGCAGCTTTATTCAACACTACATAGAGTGTGAGACACTGAAGACAACATTTTATTTGATTTAAGGTGCGCGTACCCAAACATCAACAAGTGTCGTTTGTGTCTCACCGAACAGTTGACTTGTATAACATCAAAAGTCTACAGAACTACTACTGTTCAAATATCGTTTTATTGGGCGGGGGGGTCCCACCCCAAAAATCATTTGGAAATTTTTTTACCACCGTTGTGACATCAAACTATAAAACTCAAATGATTTTTTTTTTTCCTTTTGTGTTTTTCTTCAACTGGAACTGGGGCTGTCGAACAATATTTATGAACAACTCAAAATAGAAGTCAGTGTTGGCACAAAACCTCCAGGAAAAGCCTACTAGTGCAACTGAACTTATTTGGGTTAGTCAGAGACCATTTAAAGGGTGGCATTTGTGTGCAGGCGCCCATTTAACGTCAAGTCAAGTCAACTTTATTGCCAAATGTGCTACATGTGCAACATACAGCACAGATGAAATTACATTCCTCAGGAGAGAGTGGGGCCACTGCGGGTGCCCACGCCACCATCAAAAGAACAGTTAACATAAAATGACAAAATAATACAACACAACTCATAAGACACAGACAATCGTCCAATTTTAACCACTTTTTCTGCATACACTTTGTTGTTTGAAGCAGTTACAGATGAAAGAGGAGCGAATCAAAGTGTTCTTTAACCAGTGAATCAAAGACATCATGCTGAAAATGCACACACGTCTGCTACAAGCATATACACATGAATTTGAATGTGATTGGTTAGTTATGAACACAGCCACATCCTCCTTCCTCTCTCAAAGATAAAAAAAAATCAGTTGATTTGTACAGATTAAAGGTCACCTTAATGGTGGAAAAGATTTTGAAATGAATAACTGCAGAATAAATTAGTGAAGAAGCTTCACAGATCAAATTTGCCCCAGCTTCTCTGCAGCATTTTGATGCCTTCTTTCACCACTAAATTGTACCCTGTCAAACAAACCTTTTTTTTTTTTCAGCAGCAGCTAGGAAGAAGAAGAAGGGCCATGGGGAAACAGTAATTCCCCCACGCTCCCTTTTCGAAAAAGCCAGCATGCTGAAGGTTCGCAGAGAAGGGAAAGACCAGAAAAAGAACTTTTCTCTCAAGCAGCAGGCACCCTTCGCCAAGCCTCTGCCCTCACTGGTTAAACCCGCCATGGAGGCTGGTCAGGACAACCCCGAGTGGCTCATCAGTGAAGACTGGGCTCTGCTTCAGGTACTTGCTCCACTAACCTCTTTCCTGAGGAAATGTCTCGTGCAAACTTGGTGAAAGACAGTGAAGTTTTATGCTTATTCAAACGCCAACACTAATTGTTTGTTGCAGGCTGTAAAACAACTACTCGAGTTGCCCCTGAATCTGACGATTGTGTCTCCTGCACACACGCCCAACTGGGATTTGGTTAGCGATGTTGTGAACTCCTGCAGTCGCATCTATCGCTCTCCCAAGCAGTGTCGTAACCGCTACGAGAACGTCATCATTCCCAGAGAAGAGGGCAAGGTAGTCCTGTCAGGTCAACTGTACGATCAAACTACCTTGTGTCATTTTCTAACAAAAATCTGTAACCATTTTTCAGTTGATGTATGAGGCAAACCCGAAGAAGAAAACAAAGAGCATCTACAAGGTGCGTGCTATATCCTTTTTTTTCTTTTTTCTTTTTATGCTCTTGATTTATTAGGTTCACTAAACTTGTTTTTTTGTGTGGTGTGCGTCTTTTCACACTTAGTCTAAGAACAGCCGTCCTCTAAGGACCTGTCAGATCTACACACAAGATGACAACGCCACTCAAATTCAGCTCTACAATAGCCGCTTTGAGCTCATGAAAATTATCGCGAGCAAGAGGAGCCCGCCCATCAAGCCTCTGTGAGTACAGCTTCTTTCAAATTAACTTAAGGAATGTATGATTAAATATGCGGAGGAAAGGCATTTTGTTTCACATATTTTTCCATTGCAGTGTTGATTGAAATCTTTGAATGTACAGGTATTAAAATTCACTTCGCTTACAGGCTAGGCATGAATCCATTCCAGAAGAATCCCAAACATGCTTCTGTTTTGGCAGAAAGGTAGGCTTTCTGTTGCAATATATCTTCTAACATCTGAATGTAACAAGACAGCGCAAAATGTAAGAATCATTTGTTTCAAACAGTGGGATAAGCTACGACAAGCCCCTTCCCCCCATTCAGGTGGCATCTCAACGTGCCGAGAGGATCGCCAAAGAAAAAAAGGTAATTGTCCGGATTATTGATAGACAAAGGAAGACTTTCCATACTTGATGATTTGTAGGGCTGCAACAACAAAATGATTATTTTGTTCAATCATAAATGTATTACTTCAAGGGCTCTGTTATATGCAGCAACCACTGTCAAATTGGAAAAAAAAAGTAAATTTTTTAAATTAAGGGGTGCAAATTATTCTTACCCGTTTCATTGATGAATCAAGGCTCAGCAGCTGGCACAGCAGCAGCAGCAGGCCGGAGCTCCCCAAGGCCAGACTACACCCAGCCAGACCCAGACCCCTGCTGCTGCCCAGGCTCAGGCTCAGGTCCCACAGGCTGCCACAGTGACTGGAGCTGCTGCAGTTCCTAATGCAGCTGTTCTGGTGAGACTCAATTCATGAAGCCTCCTTCACAATTGGCCCCTTGGGTAAGATCCAAAACGTGCAGCTGTCTTTACATACCTGTCAACTTTTTCAGGCTGGAGCCTTCAAAAATGCCACAGCCGGCACAACCATCCAGGCTGGTGTGTAGACACTTGATTCACCGAAAGAGCATTTGGCATTTCCCATAGTTGATTTCTTGCTCTTGTTCTGGTCTTGCAGCCGCTGTTGGGGGAAATGTGATTGTGAACACGGTTGCTGGAGTGCCTCCAAGCCCCTTCCAAGCCAACAAACGTCTGGCATCTCCAGTCATACCAAGCACCCTGTCTGTGAGTCATGATGATGACACAAACGTCACACTGTAGAAAAAGATGTCCTAATATGAGCCGTGCTTGTTGTTCAGCCTGCTGGTCCAGCCGGCGGAGCACAGGTGGTCCACGCACAACAAAGAGCCGTTACAGCTGCTGCCCCTGCTGAAGTGGTTGCCATAGCTACAGGACAGGGAGTTCGTGCAGTTACTCCAGTAACCGCATCTGCTGTAGTTTCAACCACTCTGAGCCCAGTCCAAGCTCAGACTCGCCCACTTGTCACTCAAGTCACACCAGGTAATGAAGTGGATTCAGAATCACATGTTTTAACCCTTCCGGTAAGGCTGGGAAATTAATAGACTTCATCAGTTTATTGCAGAGAGTGATTTTAATCGATTTTTTTGCATCTTTCGTAGTTCGTAGTAGTGTTTCTTCGCTGTACTGTTTGCACGAATGACATTGCTGCAAACTCATTATCTGGGGACAATGTAGATTTGTGGAAAAATAAGCCCTCCCTTCTTTGACTGATCTTAAAGTGCTGTACTCTTCCAAGCTGCAGGAATGCAGCTTGCACAAGGAAAAGCTCTCACCCCGGCTCACCTGCAGATGCTTCGGCAACAACAGCTTCAACAGCAGCAGGCTGGCTCTCCTCAGATCAAAGCTGTAAGCAAACCCCAGGTAAAACATAACGAAAAAATAAAAAATGTTTTGTTTTTGTTAAGATTGCTGTGACATGTATGAAAATAATAGAGGGTTTGCGATTTCACGATAAGGCTTTGTGTTGACAGGAGTTATTGAAGATGCACAAACATAAGTTGCAGCTCCAGCAGCAACAGCAGCAACAGCAAGTTGCTGCAGCTGTCGCGGCAGCCGCAGCTCAGGGACAACAAGCTGCAGGTGCCCAGCAGGCCCACGTGCAGCCGACGCAAGCGGCTCAAGCGAGTCCTCAGCTAGCAACAGTGGCGGCGCCAAGACCTGGTTCTGTTTTGACCGGCACCACAGTGACCAACCTCCAGGTGGCCAGACTGGTAAATGTTTCTTATTCTATGTGGAGTTAGGCAATATAACCATTGCACTAGATTTAGTAGAAAGGTCATTTCCGTCTGTAATCTATCTATCATTACATTTCTCTCATCACCGCTAGAGGAACGCTGTCATTTCCTTTCCCCCAATAAATAATTTCCTTGCGTGATTGGTATTTCTTTTTTTTTCCATTGGATTTATTTGGTAGCTGGATATTTGTATTTTATTTTGTTTTTGTAAAGATCATTTCCATTTTATTGTGTGGTCTGTATAGAACATGGATTTAATAAGAAATGAAGAAAAGATCCCAGAAAATGTTGATTAATGTTTCGCAATCTTCAAGAAAAATACTATATCGGGATATACCGGTAGATCATTATAGGGATGTAAAATTCCCTGTATTGGTATGTCATTTTTTTTGTCCATATTGCACACTTTTAGTCAAACTAGCGACAAAACCAACTCTTGAGCTCTGTCATCCGCAGGGATACATATCATCTGATGATGCAAATTTCCCCAGTGTGGGACAAATAAAGGTTAATTTATCTTATCTGATGATTTCATGATACTGAAACACAAAGTCGTAAGACAAAAGTACTTTGATACAGCCGCAGTCTCTTCTGCTTTAACTGTCAAGTCAGTTAACTCAACAATAATGTCCATTTCTCAGCAGGCCTTCCAGTCAGAAAAATGTCATGAAAATCACATTCAGAGTTGATCCTTTGATGCTGGCATAAAGTGTGTGTGTCACTTTGGCAGCTTGTGTCATTTTGCATTATGCTGTGCATGTGATTATTCTCATTCATTCAGGTCATCTTATTCGTTCAGACATGGTTAGGACGGCTCCAGCCTAACTAAAGCTTATTGTCGCATGAACTGATGGAATCTGCTCCGATTAGAGGCCAAACATCTAAAACAACCAGTACAATTTCAGTTGCGGGCAATACGATGACCAGGGAACACGCATATTTCCCAAATGTACGGCCTATTTTTAACCCCAAAATGCTTTCATTCTTTTAATGCTGCTTTTTGCAGGGGATAGAAAATCCTCAAATCATTTTTGCAAAGCAACCTCCCAACACCTTTAAAAGGGATTAGTAATGATGTACAGAGGCCAGGAAAGTACTTAAAGGGGAACTCAAGTTAAAAATGTTCTTTGCAGTAATAAGTTCTGTCCCCCCAATTAGTCGGAGAGAAAAAGCAAATGACATTTTAGACTTGATTTCACCTTTAAAACTGAGATCATTATTTGTTTTGTCACAGCAAAACTTAATCCATTAGAGGGCAGAATCATTTGCTTCCTTTAAATAAGGATTCAGTTAACCCTCTTAAAGGAAATGGTTCATTGTTGGTTCTCCACATGGACCGTCGTGGTTGGTGTTGAGTCATTGTTTGTGAAGATTGTCCTTAGTTTTCCCAACCTTTGTCCTTGATTTGTTTAGATTTACTCAGTCTTTCCTGTCCAACTTCGATCCTGGGGGCGGTTTTGCCGAAGTTTGGTAGTGCCTCACTGTGTTGCTCAATATCTTATCTTCCATTCCTATTGATTGTATTTGGTAAATGATGTAACATGAGTACCTTCGCATGGAACACGCTCGCACACACGAACGTGACATCACGCATTCTATCTGTTGTCGCAGACCCGAGTACCCACCCAGGGTCAGATTCAGGCCCAGGCAGGCCAGACGGCCCAGATGACCCTCACTAAGCCTCCTGTTGTCTCCGTACCGGCTGTGGTGTCATCTGCTGGGGTCACCACGCTGCCGGTCACTGTCGCTGGCATCAGTGTGGCCATTGGCCAAGCCCAGAAAACAGGTATGTCTCCAAAATGCTTTCTAAGACTCAGGACGCTGTCGGCCTATTATGCTTGCAATCTGTCACCCACCGGCTTCTAAATCCATTTTTCTCTCCTTGGTCAGGTGGTCCCGTGCTGACACCGTCCTTCCCACAGATGCAGGTGCAGCAGCTGCTTCAGATGCAGAAGCAGCAGCAGGCGGCCGTTCAGGCAGCCCAGCAGAAGGCAGGGCAGCCACAACAAGGACAGGCCACGGTGCAGCAGAAGGTAAACAAGGTCTGCATCAATTAAGCAACGCAGATTCTGCTGATACAGTTCTTTGCGTCTGCGTGAGGTAGTGCTTGCAAACGATTTTCATTTGTTGCCTGACCAAGTTTTTCCCTTGAGTTGAAATGACTTATCTTTGTCTATTTTTTTTTTTTAATCACAGAAAATCTAGCATTTGAGCAGGGGTGTGTAGACTTCTCATATCCAATGCATACCTTTGCTTATGGCAATTTCCTTAGATCGGGACGCAGCAGGTTACGGTGCAGGCTGCCCAGCCCACCCAACAGCAACAAAAGGTGACCTACACTACCACCACCCAACTTCAACCTGGGATCAAGCCCCAGTTCTTTACCACATCCATTGCCCAAACCCAGAAACCTACAGGACCTCAGCAAATCCAGGTACTTCAGGTTAACGTGTGAACAACCTTTTGGGTATTTTTGTCCTTTATGTGGTTTTCACGTTTGACGTTGTTATTATTTTGGAGCAGGTGGCAAAGCTTCCACAAATAGTGCAGCAGCCGCCCACTGTGGCTAACATTCAGCAAATTGTGTCTTCGCCACAGCAGGTAAGGTGCCTCATTCAAGATGGCGTCTGCGTGAGTGTGAGTGTGAGTGAGTGAGTGAGTTAAAATGAGTATGTTAGAGCGAGTGTGTATGTTAGAGCAAGGCAATGAGTGAGAGAATGAGTTGGATGTCTGCGTCCGTCTATGTTAGAACAAGCGGGCGTGAGTATGTTAATAGTGGGCGAATGTAAGTGCGTGTGATAGAGCAAGTGAGATTGAGTAAGTACGTGTATTGGAGAGAGCGTTAGCGTTTGTGTGTGTGTGTGTGTGTGTGTGTGTGTGTGTGTGTGTGTGTGTGTGTGTGTGTGTGTGTGTGTGTGTGTGCGTGTGTGTGTGTGTGTGTGTTTGTTTGTTTGTTTGCGCAACGGTGTGTGCTTGTTTGTTAGCGCGCGTGTGTGAGTTAGTGTATTTGTGTTTAAAACCATACAAGGCATGTGGCCTGGATTGAACCGAATAAGCAAACGTGTGTGTCTGAGAGCTCAAGTTTGTTTGTGTAAAAGCGCAGGCAGGTGTAGGTGCAGGAGTGCAGTGTATAAGCATGCGTCTTCCTTCATCCATCTCAGATCCAAACGCAGCCTCAAACCGTAACGCTGACCACATCAGCGCCCGCCCAGGTGCAGATGATTCCGGCTGGCACCACCACAGCTCAAGTTGTTCAACAGAAGCTGATACAACAGCAGGTGGTCACTGCGGCCGCCTCGCCGCAGATCCAGACGCCACCCGCCCACAGCCCCGCCCAGCAAGAATCCTCTGCGCCCCAGCCCGTTCAGTCCCAACAGCCTACCAAAGGTCAAGCTCGCCAGGGAGGCATAAGGGCCAAACCACCTGCCAAGCCCAGCGGGGGAAGCAGTTAGGGGGCGAGTGAAATCAATCCAAGTATTTCCCCTTAGTGCAGACGGATTGCATTAATCATCTTTTGCGGAGCTCCACCCATAACAACCGTATATACACAATCCTGTCTGTCGGGATATGTGTTCCAATATTTAAATATCATTTTGTTTGGAATATTTAAATAGCATTTTGTGTGGAAGTCCAACCTGGCGCGATTCAAACTTCTTTGTTCATGTGTTGAAATTCTAAATGTTTGAATACAAAGAGAAAAATAACCCTGCTAAAAATGAACCCAAGAACTTCATCTCAAGCGCAACGCACTCATTGTCTGGCCTTCAGCCTGACCAAGAGACCCTACCGAACATTTGAGGTGTATTGATTTGGGGTTGTTCAATATGTGTATTCTTAAATAGTCCCTTGCATGTCAAATTCCTTTGTCGTGTTTAGATACTGAATGGAGAGTAGTGCACGTTCCTTCAGTTATTAGTTTGTTTTTTTATTCCAACAAATACACTGTAAACATGTATGTTAGTACTTTGGGTTTCGTCATGAATCCTTTTTTTTTTAAATTGATGTCAAAGAAAATGTAAATATCAGTGAAAAAGAAACATTTGTACTTGTAAAGTAGTTGTGTTTTCATTGTTTTTTCCAGCCTAATTGTAATAAAGTGCTTTGTTTTTATACACATACATCTTTTTTTTTTTTTTTTTTTTTAATTTCTGGTTTTTTATTAAATCCATTGTAAGTGCCAGGAAGTCTTGTGAGTTTTTACACCGGCTGTCGCCATGAGATCAAAATACATGTACAGTAATCTTAATTGGCCAAGTTTGTAAAAATCAAACAAACCACCAAAAAACAATGAATTTCTCGGGTGGTTTGAGCCACACAAGTACAGTTCCAAGCAACTGTAACCCAAAGATCATCGAAGACATACACAGTAAGTACAAAGAGTCTTAACATAAAAAGGGTACCATTTGTGCAGTAGTACCGAACGTTGACAGCTTTGCAAGGGATGCGTAGAGTCATCGAGCAAAATTAAGTGACCAATATTGCAGTAACTATACTGGGGAGCACAATTCTTGGAGAGTTACAGTATGTATAATAGCTCTTTGTAGTTCATTTTTGGTTGTGGAATCCAAAACGGATGTATTTTTCTCGATCACGTCAAGTTTTTGAGTTGTAGAAGCCCTGTTTTCTTTTTAAAAAATAAAATGTTCATGTATGTCACTACAACAATGAGATGGATGTTACCCATCAGTGGCTAATGTTAATACCGGTAATACAGCAAACCCAATTCTAATGAAGGTGGAATGTTGTGTTAAACATAAATACAAACAGAATACAATGATTTGCAAATCATGTTCAACATATATTTAATTGAATACACCACAAAGACATATTTAATGTTCAAACTGATCGACTTATTTTTATTTTTTTATTTTTGCAAATATCTTTAACCTTAACTTTAATTTTTTGACTGCAACACGATCTAAAAAAAATCTGTGACAGGGTCATGTTTACTCTACCGAGGTGTTACATCACATTTTCTATCGACAACAGTCAATAAACATTTGGGAACTGAGGACACTAATTGTTGAAGCTTTCTCGGTGGAATACTTTTCCGTTTTTGCTGAATGTACAGCTTCAACTGTTCAACAGTCCGTTATCGTATTTTACACTTCATCACACGCCACACAATTTTTTTTTTTTTTTTTTTTTTGCTGTCTCCATTTGCAGTCACCAGCACGATACAAACACGATGATGTGGAGTGACCGTCTTCCGATCTCAAGATTGTAGGTTTGTTCCTACACCCTTCAGTGACTTTATTTTTGTTTGTTTACTAAACTAATATTATGGGACTCCAGGAACCGCCCCCCACCCCTCTTCCCCTCGACCCTGTTTGGGATATGCACTGTTGAAAATGGATGGATGGAAAAATGGATGCAAGTAAAATTTACTCAAAAACTCTCCTAAAAATATCCATCCATTTTCTTAATCTCACAATGGTCGAGGGGCGTGTTGTAGTGTACCCCAGCTGTCTCCGGGCAGTCGGCGGGTTACACCCTGAGCTGGTTGCCAGCTAATCGCGAGGCACACATAGTCGAACAACCATCCGGACTCACACTCACACCTGTGGGCAATTTAGAGTGTTCCGTTAACCTGCCATGCATGTTTTTGGAATGTGAAAGGTAACAGGAGTACTTGGAGGAAACCCATGCCGGCACGGGGAGAACATGAATACGCCACGCAGGAAAGGCCGGAGCCGGAATCGAACCGTCCACCTCTGCACTGTGAGGCCAATGCGCTAACCACTCGCTCAACTTGCCGCGGCGTTTATACTGTGTATTATTATTTATGTATTTAATCATTGCGTGTGTTAGCGCTTGCACGTTTTTCTTTTTATCACGGTAAAATGTGAAGCTCTCCCCAGGCCCCGTTTCACTCTCGATGCAAACGTTTTAGCTTGCTTTTTGAAATGTCCACACGAGGGCGGTATTGTATCGGGTTCATCCATGCTCTGCTAGGAAGGCTATCAAGTGATGTGGATTTTCCAGCTCATTGAAATTTCCCATCTGCTCCTCAGCACTCAACCCCCACTTCTCTGCACTCGCACTCAGTATCCGGGTCACACTCCCCACGAAATGAAACCGAGACACGGGAGGTGAGCCGGAAGAGGATGCCCACACATAAACAGATGGTCAAAGCTGGTTCCTCCAGTTTGACAGTAAACTTGATTTGAAAATGCCAATAAACAGCTTGAAGCCTGCTGTTTTTTGATTAAAAAAAGAAATCTATTATTCCAGAATCCCAACTTTATGGTTCCCTGCAAAATGAAAATTTCCCCCTATTCACCGTATGATTTCCCCTTCCGCTTAAGCTCATGCAGCTGTTCAGTAACAATTCCTTGAGCTCTTTTCACATCGTGTGTGGGAAAATATTACTTGCACTTTGGTTGTTTTCCAATCACATCATTTCCTGGAAAACATGATGACTCACAACTATTCCGATTCTAATGCCTTGGACAGCTCTGAAGCCAATTTTAGCAGATTCAGCCATCTGCATCGTTCATAGTACTTTTTTCTTTGCTTGATACAACCCTTCTGAAACAGATGAGCATGTTTTTCACCACTGCAGCATATGCCTTTGTGCATGATAATAAGAAAGTGTGTTAACTAACTAAAGTTGCTCACTTAAATCAGAATCAGAATCATCTTTATTGGCCAAGTATGTAGAACACACAAGGAATTTGTCTCTGGTAGTACAGACTACACAAGTATCATCAATAACAAGCAACAACGATAAAAGGACATGACAAGTATGGAAAGACATTCCGTAATGTCAGGGTACCGTTGTGCGGTAGTACCACCCAATGATAGCTGTGAGACAATTTGCAAAGTATCAAGCAGAGCTAAAGTGATCAGTGGTAGAATACAATACGATAACAGTTGTGCAGTTAGTGCAGGTAATCATTGCACAGTTTTAAAGGGACCGGTAGCAGTATTTGTAGAGCAAGTTTAAGTGTGCAATTGTACAGAAGTCCTTGAGCGCTTTAAAGTGCCTGGTGCTGTGGAATAAAGATCAGGAACAATGGTTCAAGTAAGTACACATTAAACGCTGCATTGATTATCCATTAGAGCAGTTATTGGTTTAGATTCAAATGCTTGGTAGTGGAACATGCACCCAGTTATCACAAGTTGTGAAGATGTAGATCCTGTATAAGGACATCAAACACACATACCCGTTTGTGCAGTGACACAGCATCGTGTGGTTAATGGTTTGCATGTAAAAGACGGATGTCAGATTTGAAAATATTATTAAAGCTGTCGAACGGAACAGCTGGCAGACCTCAAAGGATTTGAGCTGCCGTGATGTGATTATGGAGAGTGGACCAATGAGAGCACATTTCAAACAAGTCGATGGCATCACACCTCCCACTCAGTGTCATTGTGCCTGTGTGTGTGTGTGTGTGCGTGTGTGTGTGTGTGTGTGTGTGTGTGTGTGTGTGTGTGTGTGTGTGCGTGTGTGTTGAAAGGCCCACAGGAAACACAGGACCACTTGTGTAAACATGCCATCTCTTTCCTGCCATTAACCTGATATTAAACTTTACACTCGACAGCCAGACATGAATTGCAACCTCAAATCCAGGCATTAAAAGTGATTTGACATTTCCATTGAAAGAAGTATGCAAAGACGCAGAGAGTGTCTTTTATGTCCTTTCCCTCCATCTGAGCTGTTTACCCTCCAGGAAGATTTCTAAAGCTCATGTGACAACTGTCATCATGGGAGTTAAATGACGGCTGTGGTTTCACCGCAGAGCTTTTCCCATCGCTACTTAGGCAAAATAATTGACAGGCTCTTAAACCGGGGATGATGTCATTATGCGTGCTGACACGAGCACAAAGAGATTGTCTCCGTGTTGCCTTAGAAACACGCCGAAAGTAACAGATGCATGCAGGGACCAGGAATTAAGGGCATTTGATGCGAAATGGAGGACGAAGGAGGAGCTGTCAGCCAGGTGGGACCGCACCTTGCTCTTGATCATAATGACTGGGATGGTCCACCATTCCCTGATCACACAGCTGCCAATAAGGCTCAAGAGAGAAACGCAAACCATTTAAGATGAAAGGTTGCAATGGCAACCACCTGTGACCCCCTTTGTTACAAATCGCAGGGTTGGAAGCGTGTTTAATGAGCTTGAGATGCTAATGAAACTGGAAGCATTGAGATAAGATCTTTTTGGGTCCCGATGACATCATTGCAATGAGTAGCACGGTGTGTGTGTGTGTGTGTGTGTGTGTGTGTGTGTGTGTGTGTGTGTGTGTGTGTGTGTGTGTGTAGAAATACTCTCCATGAAAGATATTCCGCATTTTAAAATGAAAACAAGAAACTGATTGCAACATCCAGTCTGAAACTGAGCCATACCAAATCCTGAATCAAAACATAATCCCACTGAATCAAAGCAAATCGTTTCATTCCACTTTAAAATAACCCATTCTTGAATCGCATTGCATGCTATGTATGAAGATATGTATTGAATCATCTTTTATCGGAGAGATGCACACCCCTATGAATGAGCAATCCACCATACAAAGCAGTCAGGCAGGAAGCAACCATTGAGTCCAAATGTTAGACGGAAATAAATGGGCCCCGGTCATGAGCCACTTGCCTCAACTGAGCCATTAAACGTAGTTCTGCGCGCCACCAGAGTTTCAGACATATAACCATGGCGTTGCATGTTTTTCTGGATAACAAAGCCCAAGCGATCTCTGATTGCAGCTGAGTAAA